GCCAGTCCCAAGGGTCGACAGAGCCCGATTGGTGGGAACAGGGGGCACCACGTGAAGGCCGGGTTGTCGTTTGATAGTTGAGAGGCTATATTTGGTGCATCAACTATCCTTGCCCCCCACTTGTTACACCATTTATTTAATGTTGTTTAATGTGATATGTTTTAAAGTCTAATGAAATTATACTTTAGACCTAGATGGAGAAAAGGCTATTAAATACATACATACATATATACATACATACATACACACACACACACACACACACACACACACACACGAGTCACCAGAAGTTGACTGTAATTCAGTGGTACCTACCTATGGTTCCTGCAGCCTTTCAGAATTCTGATGACCTTCAGCTGTGTTAACATTCCCATTATATAAACCTGAGACAAGGTTGACTAACACACACACACACACACACGAGTCACCAGAAGTTGACTGTAATTCAGTGGTACCTACTTATTTACAAATTAGTAAATTAATCATGAAATCCATAATCTAATATATCAATAGAAAGATGGTGGGGAAGCCTGGAGTGATAGCTCACACATCTGGAACGTACCAGTTTTACCAGTGCACATCTGGAATGTACCAGTGCAAAATTACCTCTTTTCTCTATATAAACCATTACTTAGACACCTAACCTTTGCCTATTAAAGTCTTATGCTTTCTTTCAGCTGCTTGACTAAATAATTTTATTTTTAAACATAAGAAGAATCCTCACAGTTCTGAGTTAAAATTGAATTATGAAAACAAGATGTAGTATGATATTGTTTTATTGTTTTAAAATCATGGAAAATATGGATACACCTTTCTTTTAACAGCTGATGCAAGCATCTATTGGACTACAGACCCTGTGACAAATGCCCAGTATCAAATAAACGCAGAAGGTGCTCTAACCTGGTTCCAAGCTAGTAAAAGTTGCCAACAACAAGGTGCCAATTTGTTGAGTATCACAGAGATACACGAACAAATGTACCTTACAGGTAAATAATCTAAAGTCCACTAATATTTTGTAGCATTTCATACAGTTAAAATAAAGAGACAGACATAACATTTTATTTCAAATCCTCCCTATAGCAAGTATTGGTATCGCCGGGGTATTATCTACCTACTGTTATCTTCCCTGTTATTTGGAAAAGCAGGACTAACAGTTGCTCAGAAGTGCTTCTACCATGAACTGTGAATGTGAATTGACTTGGCAGGGAAGGTGGCACTGTTAGTATTTTTCAACCATAAACAATTTAGGATATAACAAGTTTTATAGCATTGTGATTGCAGAAATACGAGGAGCAACTAACTGTATGCTTCATGTCTCCCAATAATTGTTGTAGTTGTTGCTGCATGCTACTCAGTGTATATTCCTGAAACAGATGCATTGCTAAATGTTGATTCTTTTTCAGGGTTAACTTCTACTTTGAGTACTGCACTCTGGTTTGGTCTTAATAGTTTGGATTTCAACAGTGGCTGGCAATGGAGTGGTGGCTATCCTTTCAGATATCTAAATTGGGCACCCGGTAATTTCCTCTTTTGTTTTTGCATTGAAACCTTATGTCACCTAATTTTGCTATTTTATTTGGATAAAAGAAATTAAATTGCTTCCTCAGTAGTTTGTATAATTCTCACTCCCACCTACTCTTTCTGGATGCTTTGATTCAGTGGCCCCCAAGCTTTTGGGCACCAAGGACTGGATCCATGGAAAGATGTTTTTTCTGCGGACTGGAGGGGGCATGGTTTTCAGAGGTGCCTGTATCCCTTGGATGGGGCTTCCCTTGTTTGTGTGATATGGTTTCTGGCATGCCATAGATCAGTGACAGTACATGGACCAGGGATTGGGGACCCCTGGTTTAATTGCTGTCTTCAGTCCAAACAGGCATAGAAAAGCTAACATAGGTTGTTTTTTGGACAGTGAGGAATGCCATTGCCTGTACTTTGTGTTTCCAACACATGCAACCTAGGGAGGAAAGGTGCAGGATTGGGGACAGGGAGAAAAAAAAGGATTGAAAGATAGTAGGGGTGACCCTATAGTACCTGCACAGACCCTAAGGTGCTGTGCAGGTCTGAGCCCAGTCTTGATATTCTTGCATATTCTAAAGAACTTTTGAACACATTGCATGGTCTTGTTCATATCCACATCTCTTTTAGGTTCAATAAAGTTGTACAAAATTATTTAAGAAGTTAATAATATTCTTTTTGCCTTCCACTTGTTTCCTGAAGGAAGCCCTTCCCCAGAGCCTGGGAAGATCTGTGGAGTACTAAATCCTGGTAAAGCAGCCAAGTGGGAAAACCTGGAATGCGATAAAAAAATTGGTTACATTTGTAAAAAAGGAAATTCCACTCTGAACAACTTCATTATTCCTTCAGGTAGGTTAGTAAATGCAATATGGAGATAAACTGACAAAATTGGTGTTGCCCTGATGCAATAGCATTTAGACTTACTGTATATACCACTTCACAGTGCTTTACAGCCCTCTCTAAGCAGTTTACAGAGTCAGCATAAAGGTAAAGGTTTCCCTCGCACATATGTGATAGTTGTTCCCAACTCTAGGGTGGGGTGCTAATCTCCGTTTCAAAGCCAAAGAGCCAGCGCTGTCCGAAGATGTCTCTGTGGTCATGATTAAATGCCAAAGGTGCACGGAATGCTGTTACCTTCCCACCAAATGTGGTTCCTATTTTTCTACTTGTATTTTTACATGCCTTTGAACTGCTAGGTTGGCAGAAGCTGGAACAAGTTACAGGAGCTCACTCTGTTACATGATGCTAGGGATTCGAATCACACAACCGCCGACCTTTCTGATCAACAAGCTCAGCATCTTAACCACAGAGCCACTGTGTCCCTGATGAGTCAGAGTTAGTATATGGCCCCAATAACCTGGGTCCTCATTTTACCTTCCTTGGAAGGATGGAAGGATGAGTCAACCTTGAGCTGCTGAGAATTGAACTGCCAAAATGCAGCCAGCAGTCAGCAGAAGTAGCTTGCTGTATTCTAACCATTGCGTCACCACAGCTCATAGTGTTCTTAGGAAAGATAATGTTCTAAGTTTTCTTAAAATGCATTTGTGAGTTCTGTCATAAAGTCCACACCAAGGGAAGCCTTTACATTTTCTAGTCCTGTGAAAGTCTATCTTTAGGAACTAATACTAACTGACTTACAAATATATAATCAACTATATCATGTTTCAGAAGCATCTAACTTCCAGTAATAACAATTGATGAGGACTGAGGAAGTTCTTGGTGCTTTCTGAGCTCGGTTCTTTTTTTGCAGACATTTGATTACCCAAACTAGAAAACACCATCATTGTTAGTCAACAATAGGAACGTTTCAATAAATTCCTATATAAAACTTTGGTAGGCATAATTTAGGGATATGGTATTGATTTTTTCCATTATTTCCTCATCAGATTTATATCCCAAGATATCTTCAGAAGTTCAGGATGGTGTAGAAATAATTATTTTCTCCTATTCCTCACCGTTCCATGGCATGGAAGCTCCTTCAGTGACTAAAGGCCCAGCCAGTGTCTCTCAGCTCAACCTCTTACACAAGATTGGAAGGTGGGGAATAGGAGAAAAGTGGATGCCTCTGATGCCATCCTTTCCCCATAACCATCATATCACCCAGGTTCTTTTTGCTTCATTATTTTTTTCCTGGAACTGTAAAATCTACCAAGGCATGTGTGAAGTTAAAGACATCCCTTTAGATTTAAAAAAACCTGAGCCCACAAATGTCTAATCTTAGGATTACACTGAACATGAAAATGAAGTGAAAATGTCATTGTTCCTTCAAACTTTCTTTGTTTCTTCATCATAATAATTCAGGGAAGTATTTTGCAATTGCACAATTACACAACAGGAAGTCAAGCTCTTTGCTATCTGCAGAAAAAAACATCCAGACAGTTCCTTAGTGCCTGTCCATCCTGATCCCATAGACAATCTTTTGGTTTCTTTTCTTTTCCCCATCCTTCTACTCCTCATTATTAACTATATGTCCCCCTTTCTTGACTCTGTTAACTTTCTGTATCCTATTTCTTGACTCTGGAAGCCCAGGTTTCCTGCATACGTCGTTTGCCCCTAGAGCATTTTCAAACGAAGACATTGCACCAATTCAGAAAACAGCTGCCTTTAAGAGTAGAGATTATTTAATGTTGACTTTTTTTTGCAACTTATTTTAAATCACAGTTTAAAATGAAAACAATAGCAACAAATCTGCAGTAAACTTGTGACTATTCTATTTTTTCATTGGCAGGATTTTTTTAAAAAATCCCAGCATATTTCCTGGCTCCACATCACAGTGGATGCATCCAGGAAATGGGGAATTGAGATATTTGCCACTTCTGCTCATAGAGACTTTTGTTGATTTCCCTCCCCCATATTACCCAACAAATAATACAAAAGAAATGTTGCTAGTCTTCTTACCATAGTACGGGACCAAATTTAGTCTATACGCAAACTTGGTCAGATTTTCTTTTTGTCTTCCTCCATCAATACTTTATGCATTGTTTCTTCCCCTTCCCCTTCATTTCCACACCCTCAGTAAACCGAAGAGAAAACTAGAACTGGCCATCAGAGAAAGGACATTTGGGAATAATTGTATGAAAAGTCTGGATTGCCTCACATTGTCATGGATAACCAAGTTCTTGATAGATTTGTCTGCCAGATTGTTGGAAAAACCTCTTTTGGCTTCTGAATAGTTTAATTGAGAACCATCCCAATCCATCAGATGTCAGTGGTAGTTGAGGTGAACTTTACTTATAGGGGTTGCTGGTAGCTGACAAACTTAGCAATAGCAATAGCAGTTAGACTTATATACCGCTTCATAGGGCTTTCTGCCCTCTCTAAGCGGTTTACAGAGTCAGCATATTGCCCCCAACAACAATCCAGCTCCACATTTTACACACCTCGGAAGGATGGAAGGCTGAGTCAACCCTGAGCCGGTGAGATTTGAACAGCCGAACTGCAGAACTGCAGTCAGCTGAAGTAGCCTGCAGTG